TGAGTTCCTGCAGGTTGAAGCCTGGCTCCCTTCCCCTTTCAACTGATGTTCGTCAGAGAGACAAACGGGTTATGACTGGTGTTAATTGGTGGCATGAAAGTCCTGAGACATCCATACCGCCCTTCGCGTTATACCCCTACCTGGCTGGGGTGAGATAGATGAAGATATTATTCATCTGTTAACGGAGATTTGCTGGTTTCCCCTCGCTGTGTGTGTTTTTTGTGCTCGGCGATGCGAACATTGAATGGCCTCTTAGTTTCACCAATATAGGATTTTCCGCACTCACAAGGCATCCGGTAAATGAAATTCTTGGAATCGCAGTCCGCGTTTGGTGGCCTGGTTTTCGTGAGGCTGCTGCGGATAGTGTTACCGGATCTGAAGCAGGTTCTGATGTTGTACTTTAACCAATTCTTCTAATCCTCTCCGATAATCCTCTGATGTAGGGAAGTGCAAGCACTGGTTGTGACGGCTTCTCTTCCTTGCGAGGTTCCTGTTGTCTTCTAGCCAAAGTCTTTTCTACCATCGCTTTGGCGTAGCCATTCCGTTGAAGATCATTTTTGATAATGTCTAGTTCCTTTTCGAGACCTTCCTTCGTATTACAAAGCCCAAAAGCACGGTCTAATAGAGTCTTGATGATTCCTCTTTTAGTTGATTGATGGTGGTTGGATTCGTGGTTCAGATACTGTCCCGTATGAGTGGGTTTTTGATACACAGATGTTTCCCACTAAGTGTCGGTCCTCTTCACCAAAACGTTTAAGAATGGCAATTCGTTGTGGATTTTCTTCTCCATTGTGAAATTGATGGAAGGTGTTTCAGGAAGGCGTCGCCTTCCTGAAACACATCAACAGCGTGAGACCACAACGAATTGCCATTCTTAGACGTTTTTTCTTTTTCAAAGTAGAATATTTAGGTTGGTATAAATTATTTCAACTTGATATAGGCGCTGTTGCCAATATGTGAATCAGAAACGAATCCCTTTAAAAATTAAAACCCAACATTTGAAACATCAATTTAAATACTTTTCGAAGTGAAATTGAAAAACTCATGAATTAAACTCAACTTTGTTTTGTTCAAACTTGCATTTGCTGTAATAACCCAAATTGAGGAACATTGAGGATGCGAGAATTCTCATTGATATCAGAGGTACGAAAACTGGGTATTGTATTGTAGTTTTTTATCAGTTTCTGTGGTTGATCAACTTCTCAGAGTTCCAAAAACTGTCAACGGAAAAGCTTCAGCTTCCCACTCTGAATCGGTGGGAAGATGCTCCATATATGAGAGCATATGTTTTGATACGCCACCTGTAAATACTGGTATATGGGTCATTGAATTTTCATTATTTTTATAAAGCATTTATGTTTGAATTTATCTTTTTTTGATTTTTGTGATTGAGGTATTCACAAAAAAAACTTGTGCTTTTTTCAAAAAAGCACTTGACAGAAAATTAGTTTGGCTTCCATGCCGCCATCATATATATATATATATCTAATGGAGATGACGACATCTGGTCCTAATGTTCCAATATTCTTTAGAATAAAATATATAATATATAATTATAAAAGTTGAATAGAAGATGGAACTGTAGCAAATACTTTGGCAGAAAAAAAAGCTGAAATTGTTACTCTCATCAACAATTGCTCAAAGGACTTTTCAATCTCTCAATTTTGATAGTCGAGTTTTTTTTTCTAGATGTCACAGCTTCAAAATGATTATCGAGAGCTTTTACTTGCATGTTTTGTATTCCTTCATTGTTTCTCTGAAGAATCATTTTCTTTCGCAGGACCTGGTGCTATGCATCATACAAAGGCCATCTATAGCTTGAAATTATTTTTATTTTGTGGTCAATTTAATGTTTCAGCTCAAGAGAAGGAAAATTTACATTGAATTTGTAGTTTTGTGATTTTATATTATATCAAAGTATGGTATAATTCAACTTCAGTTATCTAAGCGCTATTTAATGACTTAAAATCAAGGACTTGATTCAATCTGAAAACACAGATCAGCCGGTTTACCTATAACTATAGCTTGTCAGAAAATGATTGAGCCCTTGTGGCATTCCAAATGGAGACTCAGCCACAATTTTATTATTTGACAATAACGTAATAGTTGATGTGTGGAAAAATATAAAGAATGTAAAGAGTGATATTGACAATAACGTATCAGTTGATGTGAAGAAAAGTTTTGTTGCGGCAATTTAAAATCGATAAAGTTCTATACCGTGTTAGGAATCACACGTTAAATGGTTAAACCTTGTTAGTCCTTAGCTCGCACAAGATTCGACTTTTAAGGGTTGTCTTTCGTAGGGGTGCGATAGCTGGTTAACGAAAGAAACATATTTTAAACATAATGCGTCGACGGTATGGAATTACAGAACAATATCTTGAAACTTTATTGCAAGAAGATTTGACTGACTTTGTCTCCGTAAATTCGCTAGAGCTGTTCAAAAATTTTGATTTGTCATGCGGCTTTCTGAAGGATGATGTTTTAACATGGTGCACAAATGATTCATATAAGGAATGTTCGATATATTTCAATAGGTACATTGGAAGATACAATGATGGGTCGCTTTGATTGAGGAACACAGCTATTACCCCACAAAGGATGAGAAACAACTGCATTACTCGTACTCTCTGCAACTAGTTCGCGGCAGTGATATCCCAACTACAATATGACAACTTTCGGTAAGATCAATTTCCTGTACATGTGAGAAAATCATTTTTAGAAGAGAAAAATTTGAATTTATCACAAGTAATATATTTTTAATTTGTTATATGTCATAAGTGAATAATTTATAATGTTTATAAGTCATGAATACATATATGTTGAATAAAACTACTGTTGGTCTGGATCATGAAAATTTACGAACACTAATAACTCGTCAAGCCATGTATAAAAGCTTATCAACTGATTTTGAGCGCAATTTATTTGAGAATATTTTTTAAATTAAATGAGTGCAATATTTGAGGATAAAACATGATAGTATCATTTTCCAAACTCTGATAGCTCAGAAATAAACTATCAGTTCTTTCAAAAACCTTCAATTGAAAAAGTTGAGAATATTATTGAGAAAACCGCTAAATTGAAAATGAATTCAACTTTGTTCTCGAATAACTTTTGACTGGGATGATCCATCGAATAACTAACATCGGACTTTATTTGTAGTGCGTTCAACTCTTCACAACAATATCTGATGTATAATGTAGTGCAGTTTATCATTCATGACTTATAAAAAGTGTAATACGGACAAGCTCAATATTAAATTTAAAGGCTTATATTTCCAGAGGCCTATTTTGGCATCGAAACGAATTCATTAAACACCATTAAACAAGAATTGTGGAAAACTTTCAATTCAAGAGTTTTGCTGTGAATTACTAGATTTCAATGTTAGGTACGCTTTGAGCATTTTTTGTCATCCATACCATCTACACTATTACTAATATAAATGTGGAAGTTTGTGAGGATGGATATTTGTATGTAAGTTTGTTACTCATTCACGACTAAACGACCAAACAGATTTGGATGAAACTTCACGTAAGTACAGCTTACACATCAGAATAATAGTCTAGTTCACATGTACTTTTTATTGTAACATTTTTCAGCCCTGTCCAAGGTTCTGATGTTGTACTTTAACCAATTCTTCTAATCCTCTCCGATAATCCAGCAAAAGTAACTCAACTTTTTGTGCCTGAAATTAATTTTATTTTTCGTTTATAATCGTGGAAAGACTGATAATGAAGAAAACTTCCAGAAGATCAATTCTTGCTCCCTGAGAGCGATCTTGGCGCTGCCTATACCGTTGAAGTTACTTGCAGATAAGACCGTAAGACGGTTTATCTTGAATAGTTCGAAATAAAAGTCCGCGATATCATATTTTCACCTCTTATGTGGTAGCTACTATATGCAAGATACTGAGCCATACATACAATTGAAATGGAAACTTTTGTACAATGCACATTTAAAAATATCTGTCAAATTCTTATAAAAATTTATATAATTGTCGTTTAAAAATTCAATATAGATGAACTTTATCTCCTACACTAAATGATTTGAACGAATCGTTAAAAATTTATCATGATAAGATTAGCTTGATGCAACGCAGTAAGCCATTACGTATCGCGTCTACTGTGAGACGACTCGGAACGATGCGCGATGGTAGAGGAGAGATCTAAGCAATGGAGTGTCATCGCCGAGAACACGATCCGAACGCGGGCAGACGCGTGAGGGCAGACGTCGTTGACGATTGTGCTAGTTTTGCGAATTTCTTTATAGGTAATCATCGCTTAATACAGTTAGCATATTTTTTCAGTTACTGTATTTTCAAAGTAAAAATATAAATTACTAGCTGTTGCCCGTTCTTATTTATATTAACGTACAACCGAAGCTACTGAAAATAGAATCTTGAAATATGCAGGTAGGTTCTTCGCATTGCGGAAATAAGCATCAATAAAAGGAATCAGGAATTTCCATCCCTAAAGGGGAAAATAGGGGTTCAAAGATTGTATTGAATTTCGTCGGTTTTGAAGTTGGAAACCTGAAGTATTGTGTTAATAAAAAAATATTACTATTTGTTCAAGATGGTCTGTCACGAAACTTAATGTGACAAATCAAATTCTACGCAGGCGTAACCGCGGGCAACAACTAATTTTCTTCATATATCACTGATGTTGAGTCATTGAACGTCTAATAAAAACCTGTTGGGGAATTCCTTACAAAAAAAATGTTCGAATTCAATACAACAAATTGGCTCATATGTTGATCTGAGTCAGCATATAATAAAATAATCATCTTATTACTTTTCAATTTCATTTACCTCTTCAACGAAAATGTTTTAGTGCTCATTATTAGAAGATTTTTCGAAATCACAGTCATTCAAAGTGTTCTATTGAACATCTAGGTTATCATTATGAGCAATTTTTTTAACATATATCTCGTTAATGATGAGAATAATTCAAAATACATTTAGAAAGACGAAAAAGTTGATCAGAAATAAAATAACTCACTATGTATGGATAGTCTTTGATATCTGCCGGTTCGCCTCCTATGATTTTTAGATTGGAAGCACCTGTAAAAAAACAATTTTAGTGCAACAGCTTGATTTCATGCAAGTGGTGTGTTTGAAATGAAAAAATGAAAAAGGTTCTCACTGTTAGCTAAAACAATTGAAATCCAGACAATACAACCTAGTTTGAAGTACATGTTGATGAAAATGATCTGTGATCGATTGGGTTGCTATTATTCCCAGAATAATAAAGTAAATTCAATCTTGATTTCGAAATTTATACACAATCATATCATGATAGGACTCTCATCATAAAAATGTATTTCAAGTATTCGAGATAGGATTTTAAGGTGCGTATTCACCAAAAAAGCGAGCACGAGCGAACAAGAGTGAACGAGCATTCTGCATCAATAAATAATGAGCGAACACGAGCAAACATACACGAATGCTCGCTCTTGCTGGCTTTCTTGGTTAATACGCACCTTCAGACATATTTACCGCGCACGCACTGCTCGCACAAAGTAGATGGATCAACTACGACTACGAACTTGAAGATATTCGCTCTGGTGTGGACGAGACATCAATATGTCGAGCAAACACGAGCAAACATACACGAATGCTCGCTCGTGCTCACTTTTNAGCTGATTTTGAGCGCAATTTATTTGAGAATATTTTTTAAATTAAATGAGTGCAATATTTGAGGATAAAACATGATAGTATCATTTTCCAAACTCTGATAGCTCAGAAATAAACTATCAGTTCTTTCAAAAACCTTCAATTGAAAAAGTTGAGAATATTATTGAGAAAACCGCTAAATTGAAAATGAATTCAACTTTGTTCTCGAATAACTTTTGACTGGGATGATCCATCGAATAACTAACATCGGACTTTATTTGTAGTGCGTTCAACTCTTCACAACAATATCTGATGTATAATGTAGTGCAGTTTATCATTCATGACTTATAAAAAGTGTAATACGGACAAGCTCAATATTAAATTTAAAGGCTTATATTTCCAGAGGCCTATTTTGGCATCGAAACGAATTCATTAAACACCATTAAACAAGAATTGTGGAAAACTTTCAATTCAAGAGTTTTGCTGTGAATTACTAGATTTCAATGTTAGGTACGCTTTGAGCATTTTTTGTCATCCATACCATCTACACTATTACTAATATAAATGTGGAAGTTTGTGAGGATGGATATTTGTATGTAAGTTTGTTACTCATTCACGACTAAACGACCAAACAGATTTGGATGAAACTTCACGTAAGTACAGCTTACACATCAGAATAATAGTCTAGTTCACATGTACTTTTTATTGTAACATTTTTCAGCCCTGTCCAAGGTTCTGATGTTGTACTTTAACCAATTCTTCTAATCCTCTCCGATAATCCAGCAAAAGTAACTCAACTTTTTGTGCCTGAAATTAATTTTATTTTTCGTTTATAATCGTGGAAAGACTGATAATGAAGAAAACTTCCAGAAGATCAGGGTTTGGTATACAATAGATTCATATGAGTGGTTCTTGTTTCGTTATCATTTTAGTATCGACAAAATGGAACGATGAAGTTCTTTCCTTCTTTTTCGATAGTGAATTGGAGTAGCATGTTATGAATTCCGGAAATTTGAAAAACCTCTTCAATTCCACCGTACGAATAACTCAGTATAATGGCATAATATAATATTTTCGAAAAGGTACGTGGAATTGAACATCATCTAACCAAAATATCATCAGATTGTCCTTGATCGTACTGAGCAAGAATGGGAGAAATTTATTAATCGACTGACAGCTGAAAAAATCTGAAGAAAAATCTATTGTCTTGATCATTTACTCATGTTGCCCAATCAGCCAGCAATCTTTCGAAAAAATTCTAATTGAGCAGAATAGCGAACATAGAAATCACAATGGTACTATCGACAGGTTCTATGATATTTGAAAAATTCATAAGGTGAAGTTATATTACAGCTACGTCCAAATATGACTAGTATTAACAGAGGTCATTGTACAATTGGTGACTTGCTTGGAGTGGTGAAGTAGACTCGGGAGAAGCTGTGCTCACTCGAAAAGAAGACCAGAGAAATGATGCATCTGAAGAAGTGTGCATTCCAAATCGCCTGAACTTTTGAGTTTGTAGAATTTACATGACGAAATATTACTCGATGGAGTCTGTGGAGTCAACAGTAGCTCGTATTTCTTCCTCTGCATGGTCTTCGATCATAAGTGGCAGATGGACTTGATTTAGATTTTGACACGTAACGTAATTAACACAATAGTGTCACCGAATTGAAACCCCTTCAGTAACAGGCCCACATAGAAGCTGCATAGATCACTTCACTCCTGCGGCAACACAATTCAATTCAGGTATTGGACAAATACATATTCGTCTATGACAGGAGAAAATCAACGTTTGTTTGAAGGTGATTGACAATGTTTCATGATGAATTTCACTAGTTCGGACTTCCGTTGTCTACTATATAAAATGATTTGAAATACCTGAAACAACTAAAAAAGAAGAATTAAAAATGAATAGCTGGAAATAAGAATTATATTAACTAAAATAAACCTGAAATGAAATAATAGTGAAATAA